GCAAAATCGGCGAAGAAAATAAACCTTGGAAATATTGTAAATTTTGAGTTATTTAAAATTTCGAAAGAAGCGATTTCTGGGCATCTTGAATCTCTTGAAAACGGACTGCATTGCTATTTCTCTGAGCTGAAAAAAAGAAGAATCTGCATTTACGCATTACCTATTCTCTTCTTCCCTTTATGTTGCCAGCATTCCCGTTGAATTACAAGATGAGTTCTTTTATTTGCAGAATGATTCCGAGTAAGATGAAAAACTGCAGACACAATTTTGGTGTAGTATTCACCATTCGTACCCAAACATAAGATTGATTGACTTTTCGAGAAGACATTTTCAACAATATTCTGCGATTAAAAACAAAATTAAGATAATTATAATGACATAGGTTGGCGTTAAAAAAAAAAGTAATTAAAAAGTTAACCACGAAGGTTTAGTGAATAGTATGCAATTTTACTCATTGCTATTAAAACAGTTATCAAGAGTAGTTCATATTGAAAGTCTACTAGAAAATCTTATTTTAGTGCTTATTAATTTACATACTAATTTCGGCTTTTTAATTCTATGGGGGTCGCGGGTCACTTACTTTTTATAAAAGGGGGTTGCCACTCGAAAAAGGTTGGGAACCACTGCTCTATAGCATAGCTGCTGGATATATATATATATATATATATATATACATACATACATATATATATATATATATATATATATATATATATATATATATATATATATATATATATATATATATATATATATATATATATATATATATATACCTGTATGTTTTGTATCTTAAAAATTTATATTATTCTTCGTTCGATACATGTGTTTTAAATTAGTGTCAAAATTCTACAGACTTTAAAATAGTCATAAATCGCATTTTCATATTTTAATACAATGTTCTGTATCGCTACAGCACTGACGTTGCAGTAAATAAATATGATTGTTGTTACCCTGATTAGTGTCCTCCAGTGGTGTAGGCAGGGGGGGGGGGGGGGTTAGGGGTGTGAACCCCCCCCCCATAGATCCCTCGGTATATATATAAAAAGTATGAGGGGGGGGGTGCAAATCGAAAGTTTGAGGGGGGGGGGGCAAATCGAAAGTTTAAGGGGGGGGGGGGGGGTGGGGGGTGCAAATCGAAAGTTTGAAGGGGGGTGCAAATCGAAAGTTTGTCCCCGGGTAAAAATTGGACCCCCCCCCCCCCCTTGAGACGATCCTGGCTACGCCACTGTTGTCCTCCACTAACATGTACGATAGCCAGGTTATACCCGGGCTAATTCTGACGATGAAACTGTGTGAGGAAATGAGTGCTTGAAAAATTGGGGATCAGGGTGAGGGGTCTGGGATGCCTTTATTTAATTATGGATGAAAATGTTAAAGTTATCCAGACGAGAGAGAGCGATGTCGAGGCTTAATAAGGTCAAGGGCGTAAGACCCAGAGAGTCGATTATGTTTGACGAGGTAATGCAGAGTTTATGAAATTTGTATTAGATCTTCTTGGCCGTTCGCAATGGTGGGGTGTGAAGGTGAAGTCTAGCTGGGATGTTAACTTGCTGATGGAAATGGGTGGTTGGCGACTAAGGGCGCTAGATATTGTGATGGATGGGGGGGGGGGGGGGTTGCTGGGACACTAGGGGTGCTTGTATTCTGTTTGGTGCTCAAACAAGTACAATATTTAATTCGTGAGAATGTTGTAGCAGAATAGAAAACAAAAACTGTGGATGATTTTATATACCGATGTCCAATAATAGACTCTTCCATAAAAAAGGTGTGTTGGTTTGTTAGTATTATTGTAATCTCGAGTAGTTTTATGGTTAGAAATTAGGGTTAGGTTAGGGTTAGGGACAGGTTTAGCATTGACATTAGCCAGCCATGTGCGTATTTAGTTTACTGCCCGTAACCTAACACCCCTTTTTAGCGCAATTTCCATTCTGGAGAATTGCGTTTATTAACCCGTCATTTCTGGATGGATGGATGGATGGATGGATGAATGTGTGTCCGCAGCTTTAAGTCGTATCTCCTCCTCAACGAAGCAATATCGATGACTAGTTCCAAAAGCAATTATGTTAAGCAAGTTACGAGGATGAACATAGGCCATAAAAATTCCGGGTTTCTTTCATGGATTTCCCAGAAAAGCCAAAAAATCTCGAAAAAAAGCAGTTTTTGGCCCATATCTCGGCAACCAGACCACTTAGCGACTTGAAACATGTACCAATCGATTCCTGTCATAATTTAGAACAATATTGCCGAAGAAAGTTTTCAAAAATATTCTCTCGTTCGGTCACAAATTTTAAAATTACATAAACACCTACAAACCGATTGTTCTTCTAGCTTGAACGCACCCCAACATTATACGTCAGAGCTATTTTTAGATAACATAAGGAAATTGCGCACAAATGTCACTAGACTTTTTTAATTAACTTGTTTAAAATTAAATTCTATTATCGGACAAAATTCTCCCAAAATTGTGCTGGGGCGGGGGGGGGGGGAAGATATTAGGGGTGGGGATATATATATATATATGTATATATATATATATATATATATATATATATATATATATATATATATATATATATATATATATATATATATATATATATATCACCATATGGACGACTGTCAAAGAAATGCTGAATAGCTAAAGTGCAAGAGAACGTTTGGCAGTATGATTACCCCCCACCCCCCCCCCCCCCCCCCCCCCCACTCCCCACAACACACCGTAAACTTATTAAAGGAATATTAGCTAAGCCAGACATGTGAGTTCCCGATCGTTTATTGGCAAAGCTAATCGGGGCAAAAAAAATATTCCTTTTTTGTCCCCCGTTTGTGAATTTAATCAATCGAGTGTCTGTCGTTTGTAACTGGTGTGTGTCATAGGACACATCAATTTTTACAGAAGGACACACGGAATTTTTAAAAGTATGAAACACGGAATTTTTACATGAGGACATACGGAATTTTACAGTAGGACACACGGAATTTTTTACATTAGGACACACGGAATTTTTTACATTAGGACACACGGAATTTTTACAGTAGGACACACGGAAGTTTTTACAGTAGGACACACGAAATTTTTACAGAAAGACTCACGGAATTTGTAAAACTTTTCACAGCTGAAAATGTATTTGCTTCATATATGAACGAGACCAAATCAATTACAAATGTTAACATGAATTTACCTGTATATTTTATCCTTAACCAAGCTATATAACTTCGTGAAAATTTTACGGCAGTTGTATTTTTTTTTTTTATATATATATTTTGTATAAGATAGTCTGAATGAATAAGACAATAGTTTTGGTGGTAAAAACGAAATTTAAAATACCATGATGCTTATCAGCTATATCATAGCATGCACACTAGATCTGTCCCTTTAGTAGTCTCACATTTGTGAACACGTATTATTTTTGGCCAAGAATGCAATCACATTTTGCTGTAGTTATTTAAAGTCATGTTTATTTAAAGTCATGGTTAGGTATGAGAAGACAAGTATTAACTGTCAGGCCGTAGCAATGTAATTGTTTTTACAGAACGAGGTTAAATGCAATAGCACCTTTAAATTCAACGCATTGTGTGAAAATAATGCCGTCAACAGGGAGGTAACCCCAGAACGGTTTATATTTTTTTGTTTTTCTTTTATTATCTGCTCATGAAAAAGTTCGCATTGAGTGGCTACGCACGAACTAACCTATATTAAAATAATTAAACTAGCTGCATACCTAACAGGGATGGAGGGGGGGGGGGGTGGGCATAAGCGTAGCGACTCAATCCGGGGCCCAGGGCGAACTATCAGATTTGTACCACATGCCCCTACCCTAGTTTTAATAGTCACTACCCCTCGACAATTGTAATAATGATGAAAAAAAAATAATTAAGAAATTTAATTTAGTCAGGAAGGCGAGGCAGTATTCTGAGTTTTTTTAAACGTGGACTGCGTATTATTCAGTAAGGCAGGGTAGAATGAGTTTTTTAAGAACTCTTTTTCTGCACCGGTTGATGTCCCCCGAATAAACCAGAGTTGGTATTTTCACTGTCCAAGGGACTCCACTGTTGTTTGCTTAAAGAGTTATTCACCTAGATGAGTTACTGTCCCTAGTTAAAAAGCCTCATAAGGATCTTGTTGTGGGGTGGTATAGTGCATCATACAGTCCTTGATATACAGCTGTGGGATGGTGTAGTGTATCATTTAGACCTTGATGGAGAGGTGTGGAGCAGTATAGTGCATCATACAGACATTATTTTAAACAAATATGATGACCACTTTCAAGACTGGCAGTCTGTTAAGCTAATGAAAATGAATTCATTGGCATTTCTTACCTCGGCATGAGCATGAAGAATGAGTCAATGACCAATGAGAACTGAGTGGTCTCAAGACGCCATCCGTACTCCAGATTTTCGGGTTAGTAGTCTTATGCATTACCTCTTGCGTCAGCGATCCGGTTTTTTTTACCGCAAGTAGAATAAGGGGCGTGGTTGCCGAGTGGTCACTATTTCATCACACTCAGCTTTTCTGGAAGTTTTTTCGTCCTGTACGCAATAAATGCTTGAGACTATCAGAACTTGATGAGTTTATACTCGAAAAATTGATGTATTGTCTTAAGTGTTAAATAAAAAGAAGAGAGGATACAATGATTTAAACAACTTTAATAAGAATGTTTACTACTGTTTTGCTACTGTGATTACTTTATTCCAAGCAAATTTCATATTTTCGAAAATTTAATAATGCATATTTCAAATTATATACATTATTATTTTCAAAACTTTTATTGATTGCAGAAATGGTTAGAGATCTGTAGAAATAACTAATTATTCCAAATGGCGTATCAGATTATGAACATACTTTGACAAAGGTTAAAAGTTAATCTGAAAATACGCTTAAGTAAAAATAATTAATTAAAATTCACTTTATATGTAAACAGGTCATCGCACTTGATCACTAGTAACGTTTAAAATGTAGAATTTCTAACTTCTTGTTTTTTTTCCTTGTTTTAAACCTAACAGATACGTAAAAATCTGCAGATTGCATAAAACCCCATTTTGATACTATTCCACACACTTCCAACTTTTGCACTCAGTGATGTTGCTTGTACTGTTTCCTTTCTATTTCTTATGAACTCGATATAAGTGTCTACCTTTTCCCTTTCGTTGATTACATCCTTTAGCAAATCGCTCAGAACTGGATCATTTTTCAATTCTTTTAAGATATTATCAACCAGTACTTTATTTTTCTGCTTTAGACGGGTTAAATATTGTAAAACGCTGGGCTCGAAGGTCCTTATGCCTTGAATATCTCTTTGAATACTTGCATACCTATTCGCAAGTTCCTTTCTTATACGTCTTTTAGACTGAGCTTTTGATAAATCCTCATTGTCAAAGATGCTACTAACTTGTAAGACCAGTTCGATCAATCGATTGATTTGCCTGTTAATCACTGTCTTGTCTTTTGTTTTATTGTCAAACAAAACAACACGTCTGCTACACTCCTCCAGCAGACGACGAAAACTTCCTGTCTGTTTTAAGCACCAGTGATCAAAATCAGGTGACCCTTCCTCTTCCGGGTCAAACAAATCACCCCTGCTTACTGCTAAGATGAGATTACGTTTGACGACCTCCTCACCGAAGATTTCTTTTAAAGTTGTGACCGTTTCTTCATCTTCTTTTGTAAACCTTTGCCCGAATTGCACGACCAACAAAATAGCACCGTAGCCGTCACTGCTTTTTGAAACTGAGTTGAGTAGAATTTCCGATAGTTGATCATGTGACATTTCTGTATCGGCTATACCCGGGGTATCAACAGCAGTGAACTTATAGTCGTTATATGTTGACGTTGCTAGCTTAGACTTTTTAGTTACAGATGTTGAACCAGAACCAGCTTTGAAAACTTTCTTCCGTAAAATGGAGTTTCCTGTTGAACTTTTCCCCGCTCCTGTTTTACCCACCAGCAAAAGATTTATGGGAATATTCTCTAAATCATCACACCCTGCTTCTCCTGAAAATATTGAAGTGTAAAGCATAAACCCACGACATTATTACGCTAATCAATGTATGTTATGTACAGTATATTGCTATAATTAGAGATACAAAAATCCATACCCCAGATCTGCAGATATTGTTATCCCCAGTCACGAAGATTACACACGCAAAACACAAGAAAGCTGAAATGTAGACATGACGTTCGTTGACGCATATATATTTCAAACATATTTAAAAAAAAAACATTTAAAAAATCAGGTTACCAAAGGCGTAGCTTAGAGGGAGCTGGTACGGCTGTCACCGACCCAAGGTGCAACGCTAAGTATAAAAGACTGATACATGGTTTTATATACTGTTTTAATGCTTTGTACCCTGATTGTGTAACAGAGAATAAAAACTGCTTAATGCATGAACTATCATATTTTTAGGGATATGCCTAGAGAGGAAGAGAGGGGGCTGCTAGGCGCGCTTACATCTTGGGGTTTTCTATGGTCTCCATGAAGAGAATTATGTATATATATATATATATATATATATATATATATATATATATATATATATATATATATATATATATATATATATATATATATATATATATATGTAAAAAGAATTGTATTTAACAATTGCAACTCACCTATGAAATTCAATTTCACACACATGTTGAGTGATCTTAGCACCACCAAATCAACCATCTAAGAAATTAATATAAAACAGTTACATGAAATTATTTCCTTGACACTACAGTTGTTCTTTAGCTGTAACAATAAAACTAAACATAATTTATATATCCAGCTATTTAGTCTCGCCCCGAGTGTGTAAGAAACCTACAATGTGCACACATTGCAAGAAATTATATATGTTTCATAGCCTATAGAGGCATCCAAGTTTTGTAAACACAGAGATGTCTGAAAAAAAACCTCTGTATATTCGCATACATCACTAGTACACAACGCCGGTAATTTAAAACCACCAACACGGCTCCTTTAATGTTTGTCGCTCTGCTGGTTTTTACACGGCGACATTAACCTGGCTCCCATTTATATAACTGCACCTGGAATCTCTTCGTTAGCTGTTATAACAGTTTTTTAACTCGTTTTTAAATATTTCTAACTAAATGAGTAAAGTAATTACATTAATCAATTTAAAAGAAATAATTATTAAAAATACAAGTAATATTTAATCGAGCAAAATATATTTACAAAATGCTCAGAATTGTTAGTAATTTTTAGAAACAATGAATTGTGAACAAAATGATATTTCTGATTTAATTAAGTATTTTTGGGGAGTTGAACTTGTCTCAAATATTATTATAGCTTAATAAATTGTGAATTACTATGTTAAATTATAAAGGGTTTCTAATATAACATTAAAACATTGATAAACTATTTAATCAATTTAAAAAAACAGTTATCATTTTACTTACACCATTTTATGGGGCAAAAAACAAAACAAAATATAACTGCGTTGATAAGACTACTGGAAGGTTTAAACAAGACTAAAAGAAAATTATCGTTTTAGGCTATCGCCAAAGAAATCATAGTTTAAATAAATGTAATATTACCTTTTAAACGTAGTACATAAAGCCGCCTGATTCCAGCGAGCACAGTCGGCCACGTACACTAGATTGAAATAAGAGAGTAACAGCTTGACTACGTAAATAATATAGGGAATTCCCCTAAATCTGGTTTCAGTTATGGTTTAAAGCACATTAATGGATGTACACATCTCCGTAGTAGTTACCCACGTGTAATGAGTATACATGACACTTTCAGTGTTTCTTCCAGACTTTTTTCTCCGGGGGCACTTGAAATTTTTTGGGGGGGCGGTAGACTTTCTTCGGGGGGGGGGGGGCGGACACTGTTAAAAGTATATATTTTCTATATTTATTCTATATAAATTTAATTTCGTTCGGGGGTGTGGTAAAAAATTTTCTGGGGGGCTAAGCCCCCCCCCCCCCCCGAAGAGATGCCTGGAAGAAACTCTGGACATTTTGTGTGTTTAGTAATGCAATTTCTCAATTTATGACAATTTATGAAAAACAAACGATTTTAATTTTTGTTTTTCTAAACAAGCTGCAGTTATTAGTGAAGCTGATTAAGCTCTAATCAGTCGAATGAATTTATTTATATATAGACCCAGGTGTTATTTTGTTGGACTGTCTTTGTAGGAGAGTACCCATTTTTTAAAAATGTAAAAACGTTTTTCAGCAGTTGACTGATGTAGAGTTTAATATAATGTCTATGTAAATGTACTAGGATACATACTATGAATAGCTATTATTTAATACGTTTGTATAATCACTTACATTGCTGAATTGTGTTTTACCAATCACAATATTTAATAAACCGGGAGTGATCTCCCCTAAACTTTCTCGAAAATTCTGATATAAAAAAAACAGGGGATGGGAACTCGGGATATACACATGAATTTTAATCCATTTTAAATACTTAAACTTTTAAAAATAGAATAAAATCTTGTAGAAAAAAGAATTGCACACCAGTGAACGCCAAATAAAACGCGCACAATAGTGCGGAATATTATTACTACTTTATAAATTTACATTAGATTTTGAGAAAATGGAAATAGCGTAAATTAGTACTTCCGGTCAACGGAAATTACAAAATTTGACAGAAGGTAGAGAATTAGATCTTTTACTTACATGTGAAATTTCATATATCTATCTGAAATAGTACTCAAGTTATAGGCTTTTGAAAAATTCAAAGTAGGAAAAGTACCACTTCCGGTTATCGGAAATCGCTCAAAAGTTGATAGGGATATACGATTTTGATAAAATACTTATATATGAAATGTCATCAGCCTAGCTGTAATGGTACTCAAGGTATCGTGTTTACAGACACACACACAGACACACACACAGACATACACACAGACATACGGACAAGATTGCAAAATTATGTTTTTCCGTATCAGTGAGATGTAAAACGTCGAGATTTGTAAAAATCTCTATTTTTTTTGGTACGATTACAAGACTTTCTCTATAGGCCTACTTCGTATATACGAGAAAGTAACATAGTCAATTTCGGAATTCCCTGATTTGGATTTCATCCAGGCTCTTTTAAAAATTTCTAATAGTTTCCAAATGTTATTACTTTGTTTTCTTTGGGGACTTGCCCTTTATAGAAGAGAAATTTTTCATTTCAATGTTAAGACGCTCATCTAAAGAAGTTCTATTCATTTTTGCAGACAAAGGTGACATACAGAAGTGTTTTTTTGTATGTTTCGAGTCTTTAAGCATTTATTTTATATACATAATAATTAATTAATTTTCAATTACCTTTTTACATAGCTGTAATTTTTTGTGTGGGTTTGACAATGAAGCAACCCGAAGCTAAACATAGGCGTTTCTATTACTTTAAAAAAAATGAATTATCGGATTAAAAAAATCTACTCAGATTTTTCATTTGATTCGATTTGAAATTGATTTTAGAAATCTATTGTTTTTGGCATATCTTTCTGGTTGAATATAGTTTTTATGTTTACGTTTAATGAGTCTAATAGTATATAAAAATATTTTTGGTATAGCCTAACAACGTAGCGAGAGTGACATTTTTATGGTACAGTGTAGATATCTTGTTAATTAACAATAGTTACGAGATTTAAGATAAACTAATCACAAAAGAAAGTCCACATCCTCTCAAAAATATACAAACTGAGGTGAAACCGGTACACAATGTGTGTAAGTAAACCATTACAAACACACACATTACTAAAATAATGTGAGTAAAGTGACGTGTCCATCATAAAAATAAACGCTTCGTGTCGCTTGTAAATAGTTAGTCAAGGAAGAGTAAGGTGACTTGTAAACACAGTTAAAATGACGTTAATACACCTTAAAAACAACTGTGTTTTGTTGATTTTCCAATAGACTACATTGATTTTCGAAATGCGTAATGGATGCACGACTTGTATAAATCGATAAAATGTAAATATGATGCAAAAATGTGCTGCTTATATACACACTCTGGTAATCCTGTGAAGGAGTTATTGTGATTGCAAGCCATAGTGAATTGTGCACTAAGTATAAAACAATTATGTGATATGTGTGACCCATCTTCGACCACATATTATTTTTCATTACATTCTCTTAGACCAACACCCCTCATATTATATACCCCCTTCTCGTTTACTTGCGGACATACTTTAAACATTCGCTGTCTGTGATTTTTAGAATAAATGCTGCAGAATCATAGTTCTATAGTAAAATCAAAACCTTTTTATGTATTGATTTTAAAAAAAGACACACATACTTGTTTTAATTTTATAAGACCAAATATGTAACCCAGTATCAACTAGCAACTCTAAGTAGCGAAATTCCGGCTTAAACTAAAAACGAAAAGCTGAAGGCATTCTTATATACATTTGTTTTGTTTATCTCTTTAACCTAGATATGATGATTCAACACGCTGGTAATCCACCCGTTCCAGTTCGTGATTTTTACCGCTTGATAACTTCGGAGAACTTTGGTCTCCAATATTTCGATGGTGAAAATGATAGACATACATTTTCTCGACCTTAATGTCCTTGAGTTTAAAAAAATGCTATATTTTCAATGTCCCTGACCTTTAGCAAACTAATACCTCTAAATAATGTATTATAATATATCATAAAAATATTTTTTAAAGAAAGAGAGCTAATTAACACACACACACACACACACACATATATATATATATATATATATATATATATATATATATATATATATATATATATATATATATAATTTCCTGCTGGAAAGCGTGTTGTTCTATTTGATAATAAAACAACATACAAGCAAGTGATCGATTTGCAAATGCGGAAATTCATTTATCTGGTCAATAAAATCAATAGAACTGATCACGATGATGATTTTTGAAAAGGTCCAGTTGAAAATTAGGTTTTGAAAAAAAAATTTCGAATGCATAAAGGAGTGCAATAGAAAAGTTTAGGAGTACGTGGGTGAATGAACCAAGCCAAATACTCGTGTTTGTAGAGCGAAAACGCCGAGCTAGTAGGAATAATTTGGTCAGCATTATGCCCAGCCGCCTTTACTTTCTCTAACGTGAGTTAGGTACCCATCAGAACTGCTTGGACTGATGGAAGTTCTACTGATTTGAACCGGATTCGAACTCAAGAATTTAGGGTTACCAGTCTTGCTCTCTACCTATAGAGTAGAGTTTAGGGTAAACTAACGGTCTAAAGTATGGAGAAATACGAATTCTAAATAACTTTTACTTTAATGTGCAGTGGATTCTACGTTGCAATCGTGAGAGAGAAAAGTAAGCAAATTTAAAAACAAGTAATAATTATTATCTTACAGAAGACAAAAAAAAATAACAATTTGAACTTATGTTTATATTTATTCTAATTTAGCAAAGTGCTTGAACAATTCTTGGCAATATGTCTAAAACTAATAGTAGTACTAAAATTAACAATTAAAACTCACAGTAAAATGTACTTACTGTTAAAATAATTTTTTATCTTGGTAAAATATAATAACATGATTTAATAGAGGGGTGACGCCAAACCGAAAATACAAAAGATGTTATTAATGGTGTGGTGACTCCCTCATTTAAATCACAGGGTGTCACCTAACCCTGCATAGGCCTTGATATCTTTACGGCTTAATTAACACATTGTGAATTATTATAATGGATGAAAAGTTTTTTTACATTATGTAACATTAAAACATTGATAAATTATTAACAAAATTTTCAAGCTTCAAAACTTTTTTTTCTATTATATACTATAACCATTAGTAGCAAATTTAATAAGATAGTTAACTGCTCCACGTATATTATTCATGAGTTTGGTTCATGCATAAATATAACCTGATGTCTTATTAATTACCATTGTTGGAGAAGACAGATTAAATACAGAAAATAAAACAGCACAAGATAAGTAGAAGAAAGTTTTTTTATTCGGTTAGACACTGTTTGAAAGCTTTAGCTTTTATGACTAACTGAATACAGAACGTTCCAGTATTTTAGTTGAATTATCATAACTGTGTAAGGTGGAAAGCTGAGTCACATTTTCTTTCAGTCATCTTTAGCGTCACTCCCACCCCCAATGAAATAGCATTTATACAGAAACTAGCGTACCCGTCCCCGCGCGTTTCCACGGGGATAGAAGAAAGTCTGACTGAATATATAAGAAGGGTTTTATCAATACGTTACCAATCCTGTATTATTAGACGGGCGACCTTGTTTTCTAAAACTGAGTTATTTAAATGTAAACAATGCCTGCGCTTGGATCATGAATATCGGGACATTGGTTTACATACACTACCGCATGAAAACTTTGAGTGTACGTTAATCACTCACCGTAATAGCGAGGTAGAACACACTTCGGTGACCGCTCAAGTGTAAGGGATGTAGAGGGGCACTCTCGGGAGTCCTGTATTACACTACTGCAGAGGCGCAGCGAACGGCCGCTGGCTCGTTAAAACTAACATAAGCGCCATAGTGCTCGCAGAATAACCCAGAGCGACAAATATCATCATGAAACAATGATGCAGATTGCGTCATTGGCTAAAGTGACAACAATGAAACATGATTTTTCTTTAACACGTAGAAAAAAATATTTGGTGTGTTTTAAATATCAGTGTGACTGATGCAATTCGTTAGCGTTACTAATGGTGTATTATTAGATGTTCGATCTCAGTTTCTGCTTTGATCGTCTAAAAATAGATGCTATATGCATCATTCGCAAAATGATAAAACTGTAAAGAAGAATTTCCTTGCGTTACAAAGTTATTTTTAGAAGTGTGACTTTTATTTTTAGATTTGATTTGCCCTTTGAAACAGATTTTTTTACGGAAATATTTTCATTATTTCGAGAAATGTAGGCTTGGAATTGTTTTTGATTTGTTTACGGACAAAATGAAACAACCCAGTTAATAATCTAACCTTGGTTAATTTATGTTATAATTGTTTGGAATTGTTTGGTAAACCTTGTTTAATTTCTCTCATTAATAAAAAAAAATATTACAGAGCCCTAAGCGGCCGATTTGAGCCTTTCTGGGCCGAAACTGAAATTATTGTTCGCAGCCGAATCACACCCTACCAGGGCGCCGGCGCACACGCCTGATTTAATTTAGTGGACGACTGTAACGGCCCATCTTATCCATTGTCTACCGCACTGTTTAAAACAAACGTATGCGCCATTGCCCTCACTGGAAAGCCTGGCAATCGCCCCTGATGAAGTTTTAACTCTGAATTTAGTTTAAACTTACCCGCTATGCAGAACGCACGAGTAACGGATGCCAAGTGCTAACATAGCCGCTCTAGAACTTTGGGAGCAAAATCTCACCTTCCCTGGCGCCGCACATATGTAATTTTAATTATTTTGTTTACAAACCTTTCTCGTGAGCAGTCTCATCAACTCCACAAAGTTTCATGCACACGGATGAACGGTGTCTAATAGCACACGACTTTTATTTTTTATATAGAGATAAATCGCACCCTCCCGGGGCGCCGCCCTTAAGAAATTAAAAGTGATTTTTTTACAGAAACCGCACCTAGAGTGTTCTAATCAATTTGCCAAATTGTGATGGCGATCATATGAACGGTGTCAAACCGCATCCTACTTTTTTTTTTATATAACGAAAAAACAATGCGAATTTGAAACCTTTCAAGGAGTAATCTCAACAACCTCCCAAATATTCATTGCAATCGTATGAAAGGTGTAGTTATGCACAAAAGACAGACAGACAGACAGACAGACAGACACACAGACACACATACATATTTAGTCCTCCCCTTCCCCGGAAAATTTACTTCGCCCCTTTTCTTGCTCCTCTCCGGAGAACAAAGGCAGAAAGAAATACTGGGCAAAATATAGCGTACTATGTGACATGGTAATTCCGCCACTGCTGTTATGCTCACTAGTCCTGGTCGATGGGCAATTTTTTTGCATGCTGACTTATGATTTTGCACTGGAAGTTTCGATAGTTATGGTAGATAAGCAAGAAACTTGTAGGAAAATTGTGGTATGTGAATAAGGTAGTGTGCAGGGATTTTAAACTTCCGAATGGCTGCCAAACTTTGCTAAAATTGTTAAACATTTAGGCGTCTATATGATACTACAATGAAACCTCAATCTTTCAAGCGACAGTTTTTGAATTGCTGTGTGGTAACGTGAGTTATATACACTGATTAAAAAAATATAAGAATACTGGTACTTAGATTTTTAAAAATGTTACCTTTATTAACATTCATTTTTTATCTATCAAATCTATACAGATGCACGTTCACATACAAAAGCACTAACACCTAAACACAAATGTACACGCACACGATATAATTTTGGATAATTTTTCAAAAGTGTCGTTTAAGCTAATCCAATAAATTTGAATACATTTAATCCAATTAATTTCAAAAAATCAAGTACGTAATTTCCTGCAACGATCAAAGCATTTCTACCCCCTTTTCTATCTTCCTGGTAATGCCTTAAGTCTTCTGATCGCTGTTCTTGAAATTTTTCGCGTTCTGCCAATCTTCTTATTTTCTCGTCCAATACCTGTTCTTTTAATTTTGTAATCTGTTCATCTTTTGTTTTTTTAATCATTTCAGAAATGTACTCTTGAATCATCATCCCTTTTTGGATGATTTCACCAAACTTTCCTGTATTTTTATCTTGTGAATAAAGATCCTGAAGCAACAGCTTAATTCTAAGCTCTAGTGATTCTAGTGTACTCAACTTAAAGTCTGTTTCGTACTGATTGAGTTTGGAGAGTTCTTCCACTATAATGCTTGCTTCCTTCAGAATTTCTTCTTTTAAAAAGGAGCTTTTAGATTCTTGCATTTGCCTGTCTCTCTCCTCGCTTATTCGTTTAAATTTATCGTTGGAATATCGCTGATTTCGATGGCCTAATTTATCAATTATTTCAATTAGTAAATCTAACTGTTGATTTCTTTTGGTTTTGTCTTTATTGTCAAACAAAACAACTCGACTGTCACATTCTCTAATCAAATCGCCGAAAATTCCTTTTTGATTTAAACACCATTCTTCAAACGAATTGACACCGGCATCTTCTGGGTCGAAGATATCGCCGTGAGTTACCAAAAGTATACACCAACTTCTTACAAAATCTTCGCCAAAAGTTTTCTTCAATGCTGCAACCATTTGTTGGTCTTCCTTCGTAAATCTCCCGCCATATCTAACCACCAACAAAAACGCGTGATATCCTTTAGGATTGTCTGCCATGGCGTATTTCATGGCCTTATCAATCTGCTCGTCTGCTTCTTCTTGTGTTAAGTCTGTGTCTCCCACACCAGGCCTATCAACCACCTTAAACTCAACACCCTTGTACTCCGTGTAATCCGACTGGACGTTTTTAGTCACTGATGACGAGCTTGGAGAGGTTTTAAAAACTTTCCTGCCGAGAATTGTATTTCCGGTGGCACTTTTACCACTTCCGGTTTTGCCAATCAACAGCAGATCAATGTTTTTTTTGTTTACTACAGCAAGGTCACCTAAAATAGTAAAAGTTTATATTTCTTTTTACAAGCTTTTATTTAACTCACTTCCTATGTTGTTAGTCGTCAGTCTTTCTAGATCGAAACGGCCGAGCGAAATTGCAGGCACTTCTAACAGACATACTGTTCGTAATTGGTACATGGGTCAAGACATGAAGACAATGCATCATGACATTCAATTTGATTTGATTGGTCGCCTGATTAATTTTTTTTATGAATTAATTAAACATTTAACCAAATTAGTAGGCAGTCCTATCCAACTACTCCACACGCGTCATCACGTTGAATAGCGCGTCATCACGTTCAATAGGCGCGCAATGTTTTTTTGTCATGTAACTCTATTGTAAAAAAAACCCATGTAAAGTACTAAATAAAATGTCATAAAAAACGTTTTAATAACTAGCTTTTATGTAATAATGCACTAAAAAGTAGAAAATAAATTTGAGACTACTATTTAAGTTACTATAAAGAAAAGCGTGGATCTCTTCCTAAATATTAGTAAAGGTTTCCAAAGGTTTCTTAATAGTTATTTAAATACTAGTCTATAATTTATTTTCTACTTTTTAGTGCATTAGTACATAAAAGCTTGTTATTAAAACGTTTTATTATAAAATTTTTTGTGCTTTACGTTTGAATAAAATTATAACGCAAAAGTTAGCACAGTTTTAACATTCATATTAGCTCTACTTGCAATTTATTAATTTTTAATTGTGGGAATTCTACGCTGTCTCTAATTCTTATGCTATGCGTTAAAATAGTCATATAAACATTAATATGATGCCCACACCAAAATATCAAGATGGAACTGATATTACTGCAAAAAATACTTTGAAAAGGTTTTCACAGTAATTAGTTGGTGTGCTTTGAGTATCATTAGAATTGACGTATATTGACTTTTCAACAAGATTTTATACCAGTGATTAAAACGATATTACCATTTTGATATTTATAACCTACGGTAAAATAAATAATTTTGACTATTTATCCAACTACAAAATGTTTTTAAAAATTAATTTATAAGTAGTATCTAAATTGTGGGGGACCGCTTGGCCAAGCGGTAGAGCGCTAGATTGCTAACATGAAAGTCTCAAGTTCAAATCTGGGTTCAATCAGTAGAACGTCCCTGAGTCCACAAACGCACATTAATGAAGATTTTATATAATGCTATGGGCCTACCAGTGATTAAAACGATATTACCATTTTGATATTTATAACCTACGGTAAAATAAATAAATTTGACTATTTATCCAACTACAAAATGTTTTTAAAAATTAATTTATAAGTAGTATCTAAATTGTGGGGGACCGCTTGGCCAAGCGGTAGAGCGCTAGATTGCTAACATGAAAGTCTCGAGTTCAAATCTGGGTTCAATCAGTAGAACGTCCCTGAGTCCACAAACGCACATTAATGAAACATAAGGCGGCTAGGCATAGTGCTTGTATGACTAGGTTATCAAAACAGATAAACTCTACTTTATCTGCCCCATGTGTCTTGAGGACAGAGTGGAAAAGATGATCTAAATTTAAAATAGTATCTAAAATAATGATTTCTGCAGTGTAAATAAATTGTTACAGTCAATTGTAAAAAGTTTATGTAAAAACGTTTTCTCACAAGAATTTGTACAAAGAAATTTAAAAAATCCAGTTTCCTTGTAATAGAAAATCATAACATATTGGCTATATCTTATATATCATACCGGGTTTGCTGTACCTATCATGACGTTGGTTATTACCGAAGCCATCACCTCCACCATTTGTCCTAGAAATATAAAATAACAACTAAGTTAATTTATGTCGGCTAATTTAGGACGAAGTTATGCATTGTGTTTTTGTTCGTTTTAGTAATTCGAATAAGGTATTTATTTACAGGCAGTGTCCATCTCCAGGAGACTTAGCTGTGTGGTCTTGGCAACATACAAGGCTCAGACAGTTCAATGTAACGCATGCTGAAACAGTTCCATGAAAGTTAAGTTGCTATAAACACACATTTGAAAACACAAAGATATATAAGATCAATTATGTAACTTTATGAAATTCTTTTAGAGTCTGATTACAACATGGCGTAACTAGTGGAGGATCAGGGACAGGGAGCATTTTTGGAATAGTAGGGCCCTTTATAGGGCTGGTAAGTAGGTCACGAACCAGTTCTATGGCTCATGCAGGTTTTATTGAGACGTAGAACTGGATGGTGACCTACTTACCAGCCCTATAGCTAAATAATTTTTTTTAAAAGTTGCGAAAGTTAAAATTGAAACTGTAAAATATTGCCGTTTACTAAACAGAAGAAAATTATATTTTAGAATTCTAGTTAAAGTTTTATCTACATTAGCGTAGTACGTGAAATATCTATGACAATATCAGTGTCTTAGTGTCGTAAGACATTACTCTTAAAAAAATGAGAATTCGCTTACCAAATAAAATACTTTTAACACACATGGTAGTTTTAGAATCACCTAATCAGCCAACTAACTGATTCGACAACAGTTGGTGCACTCAAAGCTACGGCTACGCTGTGGATTAGTATACTATTGATTTATTTTTCAAGATTGCGTGCTTCATAGAATCCAAACCTTACAAAATCTGCCGTTGCTGATTGTATGTGTTCAAAGCCTATTCAAGCAAATATGACACCGTTTTCATCAAAACCTTTTGAAAAACCGGTGGTTATGTGTGCTCCGTGCGGGATATTCATTCAAGTTAGCTGCAAAACTTCATTCGTCGTTTTAAACCTTACCCCCGAAGCTTTGATAAAAGGCCACCTTTAGGCAGTACAGTAAAACAGTATTTTTAAAAAATTGCATTTAGAGGAGTGGTTCTTAACCTTTCTAGAGGTACTGAACCCCACCCGTTTTTTATAAGCATTCACCGAATCCTACTTAATACTTCTATCGTCCGCACTGACCATGTTCGACTGTGAATCATATAATCTTGACTTCCACCGAGCCCATGAGAATGACTCACCGAACCCTGGTGTTCGATTTTACCCATATTAAGAACCACTGTTTTAGAGCTAAATTATTGAAAACTAAATAATTTGTATAGCGTTCTTGAAACAAGAAGTACATTCTTTTAACGCCCCCCCCCCCATCTAAAAAAAACCCACAAAAAACAACATAATTTTAGGTGATTTGCGAGGTAAGATACATTAATATCAATCAATATTTTTCGAGTAAACTGTCAAAAAAAATTGTAACAGCTTCACTGATCTTGGGGACTTTTGGTAATTTACAATCACTTGAACTTGATTATTGCATATTTTTCTTCTAGGACTAACTCGGAACATTTTTGGGATATTTAGGTTTTTGAAAAGAAAACAGTGGTAGTACTTTCTATGTTTTCAGCCTCTACTCATAAAAGTGAATTTCACTTTAATTTGTTTTGGAGAAACCACAGGATACTTTGCCTGTGCATTTGTAATGAGTTTTAAATGTGACAATAAATATCCGTTTTATTCCATGCGAAAAGAATATTATTGTTGGTGATATAGGTTTCATCTGTGTCAAATTGTACTCTTTGTGTTATACTGCTCGCACGTGTTAGGTAATGCGTGTTTGAATACATGTGTGAGTACATTTAAAAAAAGCATACTTATACTCAGCGTTTAGATTGTTTTATTTTTATTTTATTTTTGAGAGAGAAATTAAAAATAACCCAGTAAATATCAACTATAAGAAAAAAGAAACAACGAATGAGTGATTAAAACAAAATTAGTAATAAATATGCAAAGCATGTTAATCAATCACGGTGAAAATTAATGTGTTTAATACGTGAAATACTCATTATTTCCAGTATTTTTAAAAACAAAAATAAACTGGAAAAATACGAAAATAAACGAACAAAAGTGAGAACATAATTAGACGTAAGATTCTCATAACAGTTCATATTTAATAAACACAAAAGTAACTCATGCAAATGCCCTCACTATTAGATATGTACATATTCTTAAAACAAGGCTTAACAAATACTTCTTAACGAATTCTAAAGACGTAACTCAACAAAGAATTCATCACTGATTTGGCCATGTTGTAGATTTCACCTAAAACATTGCCAACTACTGCCAAGGCACCAACTTTCGATTTCTCTTCATTTAATCTCATTTGTTTTATAATCAGTTCGTCCCTTTCTTCAATCATCTTTTCTTTTTGGTGCATAGTCAGACGTTTTTCTTCGACCAATTTTCTATTTAACACAGCCAATTCCGCGTCTTGTGTTTTGCTTGTTTGTTCTAAAATTTTCATCTTCAATAACCGGATTCCTTGAATTACTTCTTGAAACGTGCCGTTTTCGTTATCCTGATTTAGTATATTGTCCAGTAGATGACTGATATATTTTAAAAGTACATCAAGTTTTTGAAGCTGAGAAGCGATGTCTAAAGAGTTTATACCCTCTAGCTGATCCACTATGTCAGTCATATCGAGTTTACATCTCTCCAACACAGCTTTCTTTAAAAACTCTTTGAAGAATCGACGTCCGGATATTTCTATCTGGTGAATGAGCACCATCTGTATCAACTTGTCTGCATTACTTTGAAATACCGCTTCATCGGCAAAACGATCGTATACAACAAAGAGCACCCGTCCATTACATTCTTTAATCAACTCTTGTATTTCATCACTCTGTTCTGATACAAGATCTTCATAACTTTTATATTTTATCAGCATGTGTTCATCTGAAATATCAAGTTGCACTATCAGGACGCACCATTTTTTCACAAATTCCTCACCAAAAAAAGCTTTTAAGTTTCTAATGTTTTCTTTCATATGCCTACTGATTTTTTTTTCAGATAAAACCTCCAAGACAATAAACTGAGAACCATCGTATCTCAAAACCGCATTCATTATTTCTATAAAATCACTCAGCTCTTGTCGGTTTGTAAGCCTGTAATGTCCCGTGAGAAACGGATGAACAGCATTCAGAGTTACATGTCTAGAAGAAAAGGTTATATGTTCATGTGTCGCAATCCTACTGCTTTCATCTCGACCTGTGTAGCTAATTGACAACACATTTAAGTAAGTCGTTTCTTCATGTCGGAGAGCGTCATCAATTGAATCTACGGATTAACAGGACATTGAAATGTTTATGGACTTTTAATAAATGAGATATGCATGTTGTCGTTTATAAAGCTGACATAGAAATTAAACAATATTATTTATTTATTATTTATTTATTCTTCTTCTTCGTTTTTAAAAAAAAAAATATTAATATTTAAACAATCGAAAACCAAAGTCTATCTACCGCGCTCAAAATAGACCCACAGTCCACTGATCTAAAACATTTTATTATAAAACTTTTACATAACAACGAATAATTTAAAAAAACTCACGTTTTACTTTGTGTAAATATTTTTGAAAATCAGATTCAGATTTTAAGATTACTGTTTATTGATTACAATTAGAGAACTATTTACCCTAAAATCTTTAATAAAAATTAAAACATATATTGAGCCAGGTAAAAAATAATATAATAATACTTACTCAATGAAATGCTATTAGAAATAATAGGTGTAAAGCAAGAAGCTATGACACAGGCTGCAAAAGTTTAAATAATTATTGTAGTTAAATGTAATGCTTATGCTGCGTAATGTCATGATAGGTAAGCTTTGTATATATTTGATATATATATATATACATATATATATGTATATATATATGTATATATATATATATGTATCTATACTATTATGTCGCTTTCTAGCATTTTATATAACAACATTAACACATAATAAACTGCTCCAACAATTCAAATAAATATCAAAAAATATAAACATTTTCACTTACTTAGATACAGTAATATATTTCTGTGTACCGCCATCTTAGGTCACAAATGGCATGAGTAGCTTTAAAGTAATTCTTTGGAATAGTTTAAAAATTGTTCATTTTCGTGATATTTTCAATTTTTAAGTAGCAACGCATATTTATTACTACTGTAATTAGATATTTATATAAAACACAATTGATATCAAAACACAATTTCAAATTCCTCTCAACCTTTAAACATCCACACTTATTTACAGGCGCATCTCCAAGCAGATTCTTCATGAATGAAAGCCTAATAATATTACTAAAAATTGTTTAATCCTAATGTAAATGTTTTTCATTAACCTAGTATTTATTATTTGGAATACATTCTTATCATTACAAGTACCATAAAACGGAATCCTGCAAATGAAATTATATATATATAATCAATTTGTTTAGGACTTTTATTCTAAATAAATCAGAATGAACTGCTAGATTTTGTAATGTTTACAAAATATGTATCATGAAATAACTTTTAAGAAATAAACGCTTACCTTTAACTTGGAGTCTAAAAGCGCCCGATTCTAGCGATCAATCGCAACCACACATGGCTAATCGATGGTACTGTGTAACGGCGCTGCCGAGCTAATATAGGGGATTCCCCTAAAGCCGGTTACAATTTTGGTATATTGACTACGTGTCACGAAACATGGTTGGCTAACATTATAAGACCTACGTAGTGTTGGTAATGTGGTTTTTTTTCCCGGACGTAACAGTAACACGTTTATTAATGAAACAAAAATATTTCGTATATGCCAATATGCCTTTTAACTATGTAAAAAAAATAGGTAAAAATTAAGTTGAAGACATATTTAATTTAAAGAATAATATTTTTGTCTCTAAAAAATTGAAGTTTGACCTAGAGACGATTGCACTTGTTCACGGATTTGCAATATTCTCCATTCTTGAAACAATTTAAGATTGTTACGTTATGTCTTGTTAGTGATTTATTACGTCCCTTGTATTGGGTATATTGTGGTTACGTCCCTTGAGTGTTTACTGTGTAGCTGATGAGTAGTTGATATGTACAAGTTTGTCAGTTAACTACAGATAGAAACAGAGACAAGTCGTGTCGTCTATGCTGTCTAGTATAATAAAGTATCAAAGTTAACTGAAGTAACTTGTTTGTTGAATTAATGTAACATATTGATTTGCTTTTTATACCCTAGCTAGCGTACCTGTCGCGCGTCGCTGAAGTCTCAGAAGAAAACCGAATATAAAAAAAAAAAAGCCATATTGAGTGCCTAAACTGATTTGGTACCTTTATTAATTAAGTTTAAACCATATTAACATTTTTTATTTTTATTTTTCGGTGGATTTTAAAAAAAAGATTTTGTTTATGATGTTCATTTGTGGGTGTATCGAATCTTGTACCTCAATTTAAACCCACTTTTAATGCAGCGATTTCGTTGAAACGTTCCAGGCACCATCTTCTTCCAAGGCAATGCAAGAAAATTACATTTTTAATCTAATTTTATAGACAATTAGTCATTGACATTTAATTCTTTTTAAAAAGTTAATTTAAAAACAACTCACAAGCGAATATTTAAACATCCTGTTAACAACGGTGAACTGTTTCTCGCGGTTGGGTAATATTGTTTTTACCACGAACTAAGAAGGGGCAAATACTGTAACTTACTGATCGGTTTTTAAACGCAGATATTTTTACTAAGAAGTGGAGAATAAAACAAATATAAAAAATCTTTATAATAATGAGCGTTTTAAATGCACTGAAAATAAAAAAAAATAAAACAAACTTCTTTTCTTTATAGAAACCTTTGGTAGCTAAATTATACAAAATATCTTATTATCGACACAATTGTGTCCGTATGTCTGTGTGTGTGTATGCGTGTCTGTGAACACGATAACTTGAGTACCTATACTGCAAGGTTGATGAAATTTCATATATAAGTATTAAATCAAATTTTTAGTTCTGCATCAACTTTTCAGCAATTTCCGGTAACCAAAAATGGAACTTATTCTACTTTTGGTTTTTCAAAATCCTATAACTTGAGTACTATTTCATTTGCGTGTACTGGAAGTAGTATTATCCGTTATTTCCGATTTCTCAAGTACGAGTGAAGTACGAATTTATATAAACACTTTGTTTGTTCTAAACTTGATGCCCAATTCTTTGTTCTATCATATTCTATTCTATTTTTAAAAAGTTTAAGTAATTAAAAATTGATT